ACTACTACTACTACTACTAGCTGCCCCCTGCCACACGTTGCTGTGGCCCAGTCTGTGTATATGTGTTTTGTGTGTGTATATATGTGTGTATTTTTTTGTGTATATGTGTATATATGTGTGCTTGTGTGTATATGTGGTTTTGTAAATGCGTTGTAATGTATTTTTTTTAATTTTTGGCTTTTTAAGTCTCTTCCGCTGTGTTTTTCAGTGTTTTTATGAGTGATGGTCACTTGTTGGCCTGAAAAGTGTATTGTGCCCACATTTGGTGTCAATTCGTCCATTGGTTTTTGAGTAATGTTAATCCCACAAACGAACATTACATTTTTATTTATATAGATTATTACTTGCCTCTAATAGACAAAGAGTTCTTTCTCCCACCCTGGACATCATTCCATAGATATTGGCCACCTTGATTAGCACTGAATGGCCTTGCAGCTTCAAAGCCTGGCTGCTTCCTGCCTGGGGGAATCATTTGTTGGAAGATGTTAGCTGGCCCTGATTGTTTCCAGTCTGGAATTTTCTGAGTGTTGCTGTTTATTTACTGTTCTGAACTTAAAGTCACTCTGACGACCTGGCCTTGTGTAATTGTATAATTGTATTTTAATGTATTTTATGTATTAATGTATTATGAGGCTGTGATGTTTTATATTACTGTCTATGAATCTCCTGTTGTGAACCGGCCTGAGACATCATTCCATAGATATTGGCCACCTTGATTAGCATTGAATGGCCTTGCAGCTTCAGAGCCTGTCTGCTCCCTGCAGTTAACACCTCCCAACAAAGCATTCCCTCAGGCAGGATGCAGCCAAGCTATGAAAATACAAGGCCATTCAATGCTAATCAAGGTGGCCAATAGCAACACTCACACTTTCCTCCAGCAGACAAGAGTTCTTTCTCCCACCTTGGACATCATTCCATGTGTATATAACCCTGCTTGCCTAGTTTCCAACAGACCTCACGACCTCTGAGGATGCCTGCCATAGATGTGGGCAAAATGTCAGGAGAGAATGCTGCTGGAACATGGCCAGACAGCCTGGAAAACTCACAATGGAGAGAAGTTGTGCGCTGCTGTTAAAATGTACGTTGTGGCCCAAGTCCCTCCCTGTACCTCAGTGGTTGAGAACAGGAGGAGCATTTGAATGCCTGCTTCCTCCGCGAGGCCTACCTGTTGCTCCATGCAGACGACACATTCGCAGTGCTGCTCTTCTGGAGGTGGGGCCGAAGGGGCTTCGGCGCTTGGGGTCTCTTCCCTGGATGCTGGGGCAGAAGGCACCATTTCTTCTGTGGGCTTCAGCAACTCTGAAAGGAAACCAGAAGGAAAATTGAGAGCTAGCAGAGGAACGGTCCCCAAAGAAGGAGAAAGAGGGGCCCTGCAGGCCATCTGTCAGAAGGGCTTGGATTGTGTCTTTCTGGGGTTGAACTGGATGTTTCTGGGGTAGAAACCACTGGGAGAGATCATCCAGAGTTTTGGAGTTCAGTGCCAAATTTATATGGACAACACCCAACTCTATTACTGCTTTCCACCCAATGCCAAGTATGCCATCCTGTCCCTAAACCACTGCCTGTCAACAGTGATGGACTGAATGAAAGCCAACAGTCTGAAGCTAAATCCAGACAAGACAAAAATATTCTTGATCAGACGTAAGGCGGGACTTCAGCCTGTGTTGGATGGGGTCGCACTCCCCTTGAAGTCACAGGTTCGCGGTCTGGGGTTGATCCAAGACTACTGGATCTTGACCTTGCAGAGTTAAAGTTTGTGCGTCAACTGCGCCCATACCTTGAGACGCCCAACTTGGCCACACCTTAGTCACTTCCCGTTTGGACTATTGCAACACTCTCTACTTAGGGATGCCTTTGAAAATAGTTCAGAAGCTACAACTGGTCCAAAGATCGGCAGCCAGATTACTAACTGGAGTGCCATTCAGGGAGAGAACCACTCCCATACTATGGCTGCTTCACTGGTTGTTGGTCTGCTTCCAGGCTAAATAGAAAGTGCTGGTTGTTACCTATAAAGCCCGTTTAGGTTTGGGTCCAGGTTATTTGTCCTATCGCATTTCCATATATAGGCCATCTCGTGCACTGCAGTCAGCAGTGGAGGCCCTGCTCTCAGTCCCACCCCGGTCTCAAGCACAGCTAGTGGGAACGAGAGAGGGGGCCTTCTCCATGATCGTTATTTTGTATTATTTCTGATGTTGTTTGTACTTTGTAAGGCATTGAAAGTTTGCTCTGTATGTAAACCATCCTGGGTCCCTTTCTGCAGAGGGGGAAGTCTAGAGATAAATTATTATTATTATTATTATTATTATTATTATTATTATTATTATTATTTTACTGACACAAAAGCACAGTATGTCACAGCAAACGAGATCTATATGCTGGATTTCATATTACAAAATCACAAGTCAACCACTTCCCAAGCATCTAGGACTGTGTCATGTATTTTCGAATGATGCGCGCAGATCCTATTATTATTATTATTATTATTATTATTATTATTATTATTATTATTTTATTTGAAACACCACAAGATGAGTCTAGGACTGTGTGATATATTGGCGAATAATGCGTGCTGATCCCAGTAAGGTGGCCTTTTGCAGCTGGCAGATGATAGTCTTGTCAGTGCCAATTGTGTTTAAGTGCAGGCCAAGGTTTTGAGGCACTGCACCCAGTGTGCCAATCACCACTGGGGCCCCCTTAACTGCCTTGTGCCAAAGTCTTTGCAGTTCGATCTTTAAATCCTATTATTATTTATTTATTTATTTGAAACACAACAAGATGAATCCACAGCAGACACTCTGCTGGCTGTAGTATTGGATCACACGTCGGACACTTCCCAAGTGTCTTGGGCTATGTGATGTATCAGCGGATAATGCGTGCAGCTCCCAATAAGGTGGCCTTTTGCAGCTGGCAGATGGTAGTCTTGTCATCACAAATTGTGTTTAAGTGCAGGCCAAGGTCTGTAGGCGCTGCACCCAGTGTGCCCATCACCACTGGGGTCCCCTTGACTGCCTTGCGTTAGAGTCTTTGCAGTTCGATCTTTAAATCCTATTCTTCTTCTTCTTCTTCTTCTTCTTCTTAATATTATTATTATTATTATTATTATTATTATTATTATTATTTGAAACACCACAAGATGAGTCCACAGCAGGCACTCTGCTAGCTGTTGTATTGGATCACATGTCGGACACTTCCAAGTGTCTAGGACTGTGTGATGTATCGGTGAATAATGCGTGCAGATCCGAGTAGGGTGGCCTTCTGCAGCTGGCAGATGGTAATTTTGTCAGTTTGTGTTTAAGTGCAGGCCAAGGTCTTTAGACACTGCACCCAGTGTGTCGATCACCACTGGGACCACCTTTACTGGTTTGTGCCACAGTCTTTGAAGTTCAATCTTTAAATCCTCATATCGTGTACATTTTTCCAGTTGTTTCTCTTCAATCCTGCTGTCGCCTGGGATTGCAACATCGACAATCCATACATTGTTTTTTAACACAATCATGAGGTCAGTAGTCCAAACTCTGTCTGTCTGAATCCGGAAGTCCCAGAGTAGTTTGACGTGTTCATTTTCTGTAACTTTTTCCGGCTTGTGATCCCACCAGTTCTTTGTCGCAGGCAGATAGTGTTTGTGGCACAAGTTCCAATGAATCATCTGAGCAACGGTGTTATGCCTCTGCTTGTAGTCTGTCTGCGCGATCTTCTTGCAGCAGCTGAGGATGTGATCTATTGTTTCATCTGCTTCCTTGCAGAGTCTACTCTTGGGATCTGTCGTCAACTTTTCAATTCTGGCTTTGATGGCATTGGTTCGAATTGCTTGTTCTTGGGCTTATTATTATTATTATTATTATTATTATTATTATTATTATTAGAATCCACAGCTATGGAGAGATAACAATAATAGTGACTTGAGGAGAAGGTGATGGCAGGATCTTTCTTTGGGAAGGAGAGAAACTCTTAAAGATATGTTACCTGGTATAGTTTCCGCAACTGCCAGTATCTCCTTGGCCCTCCGAATGATGGAGAGTTGCAGGCCGGTTTCAGTTATTCCTATCTGCAAGAGGGCACAAAAGAAAACAAAGCTTTCTGCCATTTTTCCTTATTTTGTTGATCACTTTGTTTGCACTGTTGGATATATAAACCTCACTTGCCTAGTTCCCAACAGACCTCACAACCTGTAAGGATGCCTGCCATAGATGTGGGCAAAACGTAAGGAGAGAATGCTTCTGGAACATGGCCAGACAGCCCGGAAAACTCATAGCAACCCAATCATTCTGGCCATGAAAGCCTTCGTCAACACAAGTTGAGCTCAGAACAGGGATAAGGCATATTGTAAGACTCTCATAACCACAGAAGCCATATCTGTTGGACGAGTGCTTATTAACAAAAAACACTCCACATGAATATGTAGCAGAGTATTAGCAGCAGCGTGACCTAGTACCAGTAGCCCAAGGTGATAAAAGAACAAAACACACAGACCAATGTCATCTCTTCCTTAGGAGGCTTTTCTTTGTAGTAAAATAATATGGTTGCACACATGAGGCCTTCTCATATTGAGGCCTACTCTCACACTGAGGCCTACCTCACGCTGAAGCTTTCTCACACTGAGGCCTTCTCACACAGGACTACTAAGCTACAGACACACCTGCTTATATTGAAATGCAGCTCTCTCAGACTGATGCCTCTCTCACACTGAGGCGACCTAACACTGAGGAATTCTCACAGTGAGGCCTCTCTCACACTGAGGGGTTCTCATGCTGAGGCCTACTAACATTTATTTATTTATTTATTTATTTATGTATTTACAACATGTATATGCTGCCCTTCTCACCCTGAAGGGGACTCAGAGCAGCTTACAAGATATATATACATACAATATATTATATTATTAGCATAGTACAATATCAGTATTAAATATTACTATATTGTACTATGCCATTATATTGTAATATTATTATGAATATTACATTTAATATAAATATATAATTATAATATCATATTATTATTATTAGTAGTAGTATATTGCATTACATTATAATATTAGAAATATATATTATACTAGCTGTACCCACCACGCGTTGCTGTGGCCAACCTTCCCTCCCTCTTTCTCTCCTTCCTTCCCTCTTCCCTTTCTTTCCTCTTTTTCTTTCCCTATTTCTCTTTCTTTCTTCCCTCTCTACCTGTTTCTTTCCTCCCTTTCTTTGCTCTTTGGTTACATCCTTCCTTCTCTCCTTCCTTTCTTCCCTATCTTTTGTTCCTTCTCTCCTTCCTTCCCTCTCTTTTTCCTTTCACTTTTTTATTTCCTTCTCTACTTCCTTGCTTCTCTAACTTTCCTTCCTTCCTTCCTTCCTTCCTTCCTTCCTTCCTTCCTTCCTTCCTTCCTTCCTTCTCCTTCCCCGTTTCCCTCCTTCATTCCTTCCCTCTTTCTCTCCTTCTCTCATTACTTCTTGAGTGTCCCATTTAATATTGTATTCATATCTTATGTAGAAAGAAGGAAAGGAAGAAGGAAGGAAGGAAGGAAGGAAGGAAGGAAGGAGGGACAGGAAGGAAGGAAAAAGAAAGGGAGGGAGGGAAAGAAGGGAAGGAAGGAAAAGAAAGAAGGAGGGACAGGAAGGAAGGAAGGAGAAGGAAGGAAGGAAGGAGGGAAAGAAAGGAGAGGTGAAGAAAGGAGAGAGGAAGGGAAATGAAGGGGAAGGAAGAGGAAAGGGAGGGAGGGAGGAAGGAAAAGAAGGAAAGGAAAAAGGAAGGAGAGACAGGAAGGAAGGGAAGGAGGGAAAGAAGGAAAGGAAGGAGAAAGAAGAAAAGGAAAGAAAGGGGGAAGGAAGGAGAGGGAGGAAAGAAGGAAAGAAGGAAAGGGAGTGAGGGAGAGAAGGAAGGTCCTTCACTCAAGCACCATCGACCATCCTCGCCTCCTCCTCCTCCTCCTCCTCTTCCTCCTCCTCCTCCTCCCCTTCTTCTTTGCCTGGGGGTTCCGCTGCTGCCGCTGCCACTCATCCGCCCCTTCCTCTTCCAACAGGGAAAGGAGGAGGAGACTGCCCTCCTGACATAGCAGGGAAAGAGAAGGGGCGCCATGCGACAAGCCTTCGCCATGCGGCAAGCCTTCATGTGTGTATGTGTGGCCGTGCACGTACACCTGGCTCCTCATGCTTTAACGGCTGCTGTTTCCCCGCGAGGAGGAGGGGCGGTGGCCATGGGTCCCTTTCTGGGTATGCAGTTTCCCCATGCCTTTTACCTTTGCCAAGTCTGCTGGGACCATCGCGCTGAGCATTTTGAGTGAGATTCGATGGTGGGCGAAGATGGGCAGGTACTGGTCGGCCGACAGCTCGGTCAGCAGCTTGACCAACTGTTGCTCCAGGCCTTCCTCCTGGTAAAAGAGAAGGAGGAGAGTAAAGACGCTGGTGAAGACCTAGAATGTCTTCAATGTAACACAGAGATTGCTTCGAGTGGGACCAAGAGATCTGAATGAATCGCAAGGGAGGGAGTCTCCCTGGACGACGCTATTTGCTCACCTGCAACCGGAGCGAAAGTGGCTTCTGATCAAGCAACCTTTGGTACTGAATCAGCCAATAGTTCTCCTGCTTGGTCTCACTCTTGGACTCCAACTCTTTCTACAAGGGAGAAGAACAAGACCTGTCATGCGGCTGCTTATCACTTCCATTGCTCGATGTATGTGTATTCCTTCCCAGAGAGATATTCCCTTACTCTCCGTCCCAAAAAACTCGGTCTCACAATGGTTACTAAGAACTATCTGTTCCTCCATCAGATACTGGAAAGATTACTAAATTCAGAGTTTAGAGGACAACCTGAAAGAGAAGCTCAGATGGTCAAAAAAGCTGCTGATTTTAATAATAATAATAATAATAATAATAATAATAATAATAATAATAATAGGAGCCCCCGGTGGCAAAGTGGGTTAAACCCCTGTGCCGGCAGGACTGAAGACCGACAGGTCGCAGGTTCGAATCTGGGGAGAGGCAGATGAGCTCCCTCTATCAGCTCCAGCTCCTCATGCAGGGACATGAGAGAAGCCTCCCACAAGGATGATAAAAACATCAAAATCATCCGGGCGTCCCCTGGGCAATAATAATTTATTTATATCCCACTCCATCTCCCCCGGGAGACTCGGGGCGGCTTACATGAGGCCACACCCATCAACACAACAGACCAGTGTTTCTCAACCTTCCTAATGCCGTGACCCCTTAATACAGCGCCTCACGTTGTGGTGACCCTCAACCATAAAATTATTATCATTGCTACTTCCTAACAGTAATTGTGTTACTGTTTGGAATCATAATGTAAATATCTGAAATGCAGGATGTATTTTCATTCATTGCACCAAATTTGGCACAAATACCCAATAACAGAGCTCCATGCAGTCATGTCAGCCACATGACCTTGGAAGTGTCTATGGACAACACTGGCTCTTCAGCCTAGAAATTGAGCACCAACCCCCAGAGTTGGACACGACTGGACTTAATGTCAGGGGAAAATTATCTTACCCAATAAGCCAAATTGGTGGGATTGGAGGGAGAATTGATTTTGTCATTTGGGAGTTGTAGAAACAGAACTATTTCTCAAAGTCCTTGCAGACTTGGCACAGCTTGGTAACGTTACAAAGAAAACAGTCAATTAGCGAAACCATAGAGATGTTCTTTCTTTTTTCCTCTAGTCGCTGAGTTGCCTTCCTCCAAATGGTAGAAAAAATCCTGAGATCTTTTTACCCCAACCCTGAGCTACTATCTTTTAGAAAGCGGAGGCCTTCCCTGTTCCAGCCCAAGGTTAGTTTTGGAGATGAAGCAAACAGTGTTCAATAACTATCTCAATAGTCCTCTATACTAAATAACTCAATTAAGACTCAATTGGACCCAATATTACTCAATCTCTATTCTATCTATCTATCTCAATTAGCTTCTTTATCTATATAACTCAATCAGCTTCTCTATCTAAATAACTCAATTCTTTCCTTTACTCAATTGTACTTACAATGGTTTTTTCAGAGCTCTCTGACTGGCCTTACAGCACATCTGAGGCTTTTCTCTAAAACTGAAGGAGGCAGGGGAGATTCCAAAATGGAGATCTCAAGCCCAGGAAAAAAGGCGGTCCCTAAGCCCAAAGAGATACTTTTCTAAACCAATAGCTGCAAAAAGACCTGCAGGCTGGCTTTCCTGTTAACTTTCAGGATGCAGCTGAAATTGTATTTATAGTTTTTATAGTTCACCCACAATCAAAGAGCATTCTGAACCCTACCGATTGAATTGGGCCAAACTTTCCACACAGAACCTCCATGACCAACAGAAAATGCTGTGTTTTCTGGTGGTCTTTGGTGACCCCTCTGACACCCCTCCAGGGGTCCCGACCCCCAGGTTGAGAAACACTCTCATAGACGGAGATGCGGCCATGCAGGTAAGCGGGCCCCAAACTGTTGAGGGCTTTGTATGTCAAAACCTGCACCTTGAATTGGGCCTGGAAAATAAATGGCAGCCAGTGGAGCTCCTTAAATAGGAGGGTTGACCGCTCTCTGTAATTCGCTCCAGTTAATAATCTGGCCGCCGCCCGTTGGACCATTTGGAATTTCCGAGCCGTCTTCAAGGGCAGCCCCACGTAGAGAGCATTGCAGTAGTCCAATCTAGAAGTAACTAAGGCATGGACCACCATGGCCAAATCCGACTTCAGCTGGTACACGAGCTTCAGTTGTGTGAAGGCCCTCCCAGCCACCGCCAACATCTGAGCTTCAAATGTCAACGCTGAGTCTAGGAGGACACCCAAGCTGCTGACCTGTGACTTCAGGGGGAGTGCAACCCCGTCCAGCACAGGTTGCCACCCAATACCTCAATCCAGCCTACGATTGACCAGGAGGACCTTTGTTACAGAGTCGTCGTCACTTACCAAGATTTCGAGCAGTTCCTCTTCGCGCTGCTTTTTCTCTTTCAGCAGCTGCTGCAGCAAGTAGGTCAGGGCCCGCCGTTGTTCTGCAATCACCTCCTAAAATGCATCAGTTCACAAGGGCAGATCAACCACGATCCTATTGCCCCAAAATAAACACACACCTCCCCACTCCCCAATTGCACAGCCTGTGAAAAAGATCTTGGGAGTTCTGAGGAGTGTGAGGTAAACCTCTGTGTGAGAGAAGCCTTGTTGTGCGAAAGCTCTAGTGTAACGAGAGCAGGGCCTCCCCAGACGATCTTAAGGTCCTAGATGGGTCATAAGGGGAGATGCGTTCGGACATGTAAGTTGGGCCAGAACTGTTTAGGGCTTTATAGGCTAAAGCCAGCACTTTGCATTGTGCCCGGTAGCAATTGTTATGATCGTATGAGCTCTGTCCAGGACTGCATGTATTCATTGCTCCAGATTCTGAGCCGAAGAATAGCTGAAGCAGCACATATAATGGACACCGATCCATTCTGCACTGTTTCCCCCCTTTTTGGCAGCAGGTTAAACTGCTGAGCTGTTGAACTTGCTCACCGAAAGGTTGGCGGTTCGACTCTGGGGAGCAGGGTAAGCTCTCACTGTTAGCCCCAGCATCTGCATGATTTCCCCCTTTTTTGGCAGCAGGTTTACCACTGAGCTGCTGAACTTGCTCACTGAAAGGTTGGCGGTTGAACTCTGAGGAGTGGGGTGAGTTCCTGCTGTTAGCCCCCGCTTCTGAACTATTTCCCCCTTTTTTGGCAACAGGTTAAACTATTGAGCTGTTGAACTTGCTCATCGAAAGGTTGGCGGTTCGACTCTGGGGAGCGGGGTAAGCTCTCACTGTTAGCCCCAGCATCTGCATGATTTCCCCCTTTTTTGGCAGCAGGTTAAACCACTGAGCTGCTGAACTTGCTCACCAAAAGGTTGGCGGTTCGACTCTGGAGAGCGGGGTGAGCTCCCACTGTTAGCCCCAGCTTCTGCACTAATTCCCCCTTTTTTGGCAGCAGGTTAAACCACTGAGCTGCTGAACTTGCTCACCAAAAGGTTGGCGGTTCAACTCTGGGGAGTGGGGTGAGCTCCCACTGTTAGCCCCAGCTTCTGCACTGTTCCCCCCTTTTTTGGCAGCAGGTTAAACCACTGAGCTGCTGAACTTGATCACCAAAAGGTTGGCGGTTCAACTCTGGGGAGTCGGGTGAGCTCCTGCTGTTAGCCCCAGCTTCTGCCAACCTAACAGTTCGAAAACATGCAAATGGGAGTAGATCAATAGCAGGACGGTAACGGCGCTCCATGCAGTCATGATGGCCACATGACATTGGAGGAGTCTGCGGACAATGCTGGCTCTTCGGCTTAGAAATGTAGGTGAGCATCACTCCCCAGAGTCGGACACGTCTAGACTGAATGTCAAGGGGAAACCTTTACATTTACCTTAAGGAATTATATCGAAGAAGTAAGGCCTCATTGCCCTCGCACACATTCAAGCACCTTTACTGTGTACATGCTTCCCCGCACTTGTTTTTTTCCTGCCTACGGATGGGAAATGGCAAAAATACATGCAGCCCTGTCTCGGCCCACTGAGCAGAAGTGGATGCAACTGAAGAGATGGAGCATGCTTTGGACCGAAGGGGAGGGGATCGAAGCAAAACGAGATTTTCGCAAGGCATGACGAGGAACGTGAAATGCTCAGCAGGCTTTGGTGCCTTCTCTCGTTGCACACTTAAAATCCGAATCGGCCCCCCTCAATGGATTTTTGTATCTTTTGTGGTGAATAAACCCCAAGGAGCTGGGAACGAATCCTCTTGTGGCCTAAGCAACCAAGCCCGTTTCGGAGACTGCCCAAAGCGGAGGCAAGAAGGGTGCAAAGGAGAGCTGCCGTAGGCGGCGGGAAAGAGGGCCAACGTACCTGCAAAGCCTCGGTGTCCAACTGCTGCCTCTTTACCTCCAGCTGGGTGAGCTGCAGGAGCTCTCTTTCTATTAACTTAATCTAGGCAAAAGACGAAAGAAGGAGTGGGGAGTTGGGAGGTTTTGGGTTTCAACTCTCAACGGGTGCTATGGCTATGGCTTTGAGCTGCTAGTCCCTTTGGTGACTCCCTTCGAGCCAAAGAGAGATTGGGTAAGCACCGAATAAAAGCCCAAAGTATCCAAGAAGGGACCCCAAGCAGACGTGGTTAAAGGATATCTTTGGAAAAAAGGCAGGACCCCAAACACTTGAGTATGGTTTCTAGAGCCTGTTGTAGAGTTCGGCAAAGCACCAAAGTACAGGAAAGTGCGTGAAAAGCCCTTAGTAAACAGGAAGGCTCAGTGGTCTCTTACCACTTCATCACATTTACTAAATTACACTTAAAAGTCTGGGAAGCCACTCCCCTCATCACATTAGTTTGGCCCCAAGTGTAGGATAGAGTATTCTTTGTGTATTTTGAGTGTGGGCACCAGCATTCTTTTCATAGTTTCTCGAAGTCCATACTCTTCTCTTGGTGCATTTACAGTATGGAATGAATGCCCTTGCACCCCACTTTAAATGCCATGGCTCCATGCAATGGAGTCCTGCTGGGAGTTATAGTTTCCCAAGGTCCACACCCTTCTCTTGGTGCAATTACAATATGGAATGAATGCCCTTACACCCCACTTTATATGCCATAGCTCCATGCGATGGAGTCCTACTGGGAGTTATAGTTTCCCAAGGTCTACACCCTTCTCTTGGTGTATTTACAGAATGGAATGAATGCCCTTACACCCCACTTTAAATGTCCTGCTGGGAGTTATAGTTTCCCAAGGTTCACACTCTTCTCTTGGTGCATTTACAGTATGGAATGAATGCCCTTATACTCCACTTTAAATGTCATGGCACCATATGGAATGAATGCCCTTACACCCACTTTAAATGTCATGGCTCCATGCGACGGAGTCCTTCTGGGAGTTATAGTTTCCCAAGGTCCACACCCTTCTCTTGGTGCATTTACAGTATGGAATGAATGACCTTGCACCCCACTTTAAATGTCATGGCTCCATGAGATGGAGTCCTGCTGGGAGTTATAGTTTTCCAAGTTCCACACCCCTCTCTTGGTGCAATTACAATATGGAATGAATGCCCTTACATCCCACTTTAAATGTCATGGCTCCATGTGATGGAGTCCTGCTGGGAGTTATAGTTTCCCAAGGTCCACACTCTTCTCTCGGTGCATTTACAGTATTGAATGAATGCCCCTACACCCCACTTTAAATGTCATGGCTCCATGCAATAGAGTCCTCTGTGGAGTTATAGTTCCCCAAAGTCCACACTCTTCCCTGGGTGCATCTATACTGTGGAATGAATGCAGCTGGACCTTACTTTAAATGCCATGTCTCCCTGAGATGGTCTTGGGAACTGCAGTTTCTCAAGTTCCATGAACCCTCTCTGGGTGCATCTACACTGTGGAATGAATGCAGCTGAACCTTACTTGAAATGCCATAGCTCCATATTATGCAGTTCTGGGAGTTATAGTTTTCTAATATCCACACCCTTCTCTGTGGGGCGGGAGGGAAAGAGAAAGGGAGGGTTTCATTGAAAGATGGAGCTCTGCTCAGCCAACTATTTCATTGCTTCAATGTAATGAAGTGGTATTATGCCAAGGGCTTGGTTCTTGAACAAAATGCAAATCCAGCTCCCTCTATCATCCAGAGACACATGTGGGTCACAGCTGTTCACCCCACATGCCTTCAGGTTGGGCAGAATGGATTTGAACAAGCAGCTTGGTGAGAGAGAGAGAGAAAAATAAAACTGAAAATAAACAAGACGACCACTGCCATTATGGAGCGGATGCTTTTATGGATAGCCATGGGATGGAAAAATGCAATGGGGCCTCCTGAAGGCGAGGCATACCTCTCTGGTCCCAAGGAAGGAACTCAGAAGATTTGGGGATCTAAAACGGGAGCCTACCTACCCAATGAAGCCAAGGAGATTCCGTCCCCGTCTTCCACTCACCTGGTTTCGGATCTGGCAGTGCATGAGGTCCCGCTTTACCTGGAGGGCCTCGAAGGCCGCTTTCTGCATTTCGCTCTAGGAGATGGAGATTAAGACAATATTTATCAAGCCACGAGACGGCCTTACGTTGAGACAAGCCGTATAGAGGAATCTAACTGTGTATTCCTTGATCTAGAAACCTTTTTGCTTCTCTCCAAGGCCTTTCCAGGCAGAACAAAGACCCTTTTAACTTGAAGACCAGGGAACAAACCTTCCACAGACAAGAATGTGATCTACCTCTTGCAAGATCTGGCTTACAGCTTTGCTCTGGTCCAGCTGTTGCCAGGCCAAGATCTGCTGGAATTTCTGGTCCATTTTGGCGATGCTGAAAGAGAAACGTTCCAGAGATTACCAAGGCAGTGACATCTCCAGCTCATCCCTTGTTTGGGTATCAGCCAGCACGTCAATGACTTAAATCAAGAAATAGTTTTCTAAGATCTACAGAGACACTTGCTGGAACACCTCAGCAAGCGAGAGTCCAAAAGTGGCAGGCTCAAACCCAGAACCTCAACCAATGGCTGATACCAAATGAGAGACTCCCCCCTGGGCACACAGAAAACTGGGCGACTGGGAAGGCGCTGAACAGACTGCGCTCTGGCAACCACGAGATGCAGAGCCAACCTTAAGAAATGGGGCCACAAAGTGGAATCCAAGACATGCAAGTGTGGAGAAGAGCCAACCACTGACCACTTGCTGCAATGTAACCTGAGCCCTGCCACATGCACAATGGAGGACCTTCTTGCGGCAACACCAGAGGCACTCCAAGTGGCCAGATACTGGTCAAAGGACATTTAATCAACTACCAAGCTTGCAAACTTTGTGTTTTGTCTGTCTGTCTGTCTGTTTGTTTGTTTGTTTTGTTAAAAATGTAATACAAATGTCTGGTTGCTCCTGACAAGATAAATAAATACTGCAATACTCTCTACATGGGGCTGCCTTTGAAGATACTTCAGAAGCTGCAATTACTGCAGAGATCAGCAGCCAGATTGCTAACTGTAGCACCGTATAATGAGAGGAGGACTCCCATGTTGCAGCAGCCCCACTGGCTGCCGATCTGCTTCCGGGCTAAATGCAAAGGGCTTGGCATTACCTATAAAGCCATAAACCAGTGGTTCTCAACCTTTCTAATGCCGTGACCCCTAAATACAGTTCCTCATGTTGTGGTGACCTCCGACCATACAATTATTTTTGGTGCTATTCCATAACTAATTTTGCTACTGCTATGAATTGTCATGTAAATACCCGATATGCAGGATGTCATAAATTTCATTGTCATAAATTGAACATAATTAATGCATAGTGATTAATCACAAAAACAATATGTTTGGGGGAGTATGGACAACAGATGATGGTATTTGCAGTACCTTCAACCAATTCAGCTCTGAACCCTCACCTGCCTCGTGCCCTTGCCGGATGGTGAGAGTGCATGGCAGATGAGTCAGGCCTCGTGTAAAGGAGCCCTCACCTGGCCCACACCCTTGGGGCGGGGCCAACGGAGCCAGCTGAGATGCATCTATCATTCATTTACAACTTTGGAACAACACCAGCAAGAAATATTGCTATATAAGAGACCTTATTACAATCCAAAAATTGTGGCAGACCAGAGGATATATAAGAGACCTTATTGCTATATAAGAGGCCTTATTACAATCCAAAAATTGTGGCAGACCAGAGGAGTCTGCCACAATTTTGGAGGGGCCAACGGAGACGGCCTCGCAAACCCTGCGAAATGGCCAGGCGACCCCCCAGGGGTCGCGACCCCCAGGTTGAGAACCACTGCCATAAACAGTTCAGGTCCAGACTGTTTGCGAAACTGCATCTCTGTATACAAACCGGCCCATGGAGGAGGCCCTGCTCTCGGTCCCACCCCCATCTCAAGCACAGCTGGTGGGAACGAGAGAGGGGGGCTTCTCCATGATTGCTCCCCACTTCTGGAACTCCCTCCTAAAAGAAATTAACAACTGATTCCTTAACTGCATCACTAATATCTCAAAAGTTCCCTTCCTCGCCAGTATTACCTGGAATACGTCTGATTCACTAGGTCTTGCCGCCGCGACTCATACGCCACCTGGAGCAGCTTGCTTTTGTACGTCTCGGAGAGCATTTGCTGCATGGCCGCTGAAAGGCATTGAAAAATAAATTTTGAGAGCTTGAGCTGCTGTTAAAAGTCAAAAAGCACAATGCATTTGCCATCAATGAAACAGAAGTACTGAGAGTGTGAAACATAAGACAATGTTTGGCGGCACACTCACCAGCGACTTCCTTCCTGCGCAACTGCTCCGCTTCTTCCTGCGTGATAGCCATCAGCTGCTCCATCCGGATTCTAGGAAGAATGGGGAAGAATCAGTCACAGTGTGTTGCACCTATATTCCCGTTTGCTTCAGCCAACACACACACAACCTTTCTTTCCATCCCTCCAGACACCGCTTTGCATCTCCTCCAACTAGGTTGCTCAGTGGAAGTTGTAGTCTGAACATGTTTTGGAAGGCATCGGCACCACTGAGATAAAGGTGTCAATACATTCTCTGACTGGATGATACTTAAGAGGGATATGTATTACTTGAAACTCTTGGGCTACGGTAACAGAGGTGCCGCAACTGCAGAGTGGGCAACCCAAGCTCCTTGGGATTTGCATTGTGCTCTAGGAAGCCATTTTTGGCCCCCTCTACACTGCCATATAATCCAGATTATCAAAGCAAACAATACACATTATCTGCTTTGAACAGGATGATATGAGTCTACATTGCCATATAATCTAGTTCAATGCAGATATTCTGGTTCTGGCCCAATGTCCGAACGTATCTCCTCCTATGAACCAGCTAGGACGTTAAGATCGTCTGGCAAGGCCCTGCTCTCGGTCCCGGCAGCATCACAAGTACGCTTGGCGGGGACGAGAGACAGGGCCTTCTCAGGGGTGGCCCCTTGGCTGTGGAACGCCCTTCCCACAGAAATTAGATCGGCCCCCTCCCTGTTAGCATTTCGGAGGAAAGTGAAGACTTGGTTGTTTGAGCAGGCCTTTGAATAGGCAGTGTAACTAATGTAGAAATATGGAACATTTGGATGATGAGACTGGATCTTGATTTTAACTATGAGATGAGAGGAGATGTTATGATGTTTTATTGATTGTTATAATGTTGTTCCCTTAAATTGTTTTTAACTGTTTTCATCATGTATATGTATTGTATTTGCTTTTGTTAACCGCTCTGAGTTGCCCTGAGGGCTGAGAAGAGCGGTATACAAATATAGTAAATAAATCTATATATATAAAAATGTAATGTTCGTTTGTGGGATTAGCAGAATTCAAAAACCACTGAACAAATTGACACCAAATTTGGACACAAGACACCTAACAACCCAATGTATGTCCTTCACTCAAAAAAATGATTTTGTCATTTGGGAGTTGTAGTTGCTGGGATTTATAGTTCACCTACAATCACAGAGCATTCTCAACCCCACCAACGATAGAATTGGGTCAAACCTCCCACACAGAACCCCCATGTGGGCCACAGCAACGCATGGCAGGGGATGGCTAGTAAATAAATAAATTATCCATCGTGCTCCCTGTGAAACCACACATATGCGCCTGATATGACAGTGTAGATGGAGCCTATCTAATAAAATACTCACCTATCATTCTCTAAGGATTTCAGGATCTCCGAATTCTGCTTTTGCCTAGAAATAGCAAACAAAACAAAATATATTTTTAGTAGGCAGCCTAGTCCTCTCATCTCAAATGGACTTCAGTCTTTCAATGCTTCCCATAATCACCAACTTGCATTGCCCCTCTTAATAAATACGTCTGTGCAAATAAAGCATAGCCTATGATTCTATGATTGCAGCCATCCAGTCCAATCTCCATCTTCTGGACAGGAAGACACATCCAAGCTCTCTTTGTGAAGAAATATAATGTACAGATTTGATAAATGTGGAATTAACATATGTGGGTATCAATGAACGATGAAAAAAATGAATGAATGAGAGACAGCATTCTGAAGATTAAGGCTTGTAATGACTACACCATTAACTACCTGCTTGATGAATTGCAATCAACACCTGCTAATGAGAACTGAAATGGTTGACTTGCTATAGTAAACTGTGATAAGAACTGCGATAGAGATAAATGTTTACATCTGTCAACATTTGCTGACCAGAAACCAGATTAACTCTAACACGAAATTATATCTGTTTACATTATCAGAGAAAATGGCTCTTTAAGTTAAGGAAATGTTTACAAGGTTCCTTACATTAAGAAGGAAGTCAACACAAGGTTCCTTACGTTTACCAACACAAATTAAGCAAAGTCAACATCTGGCAGGAATAGGTGAAGCCAGGATGTTTCAGGCTGGAAAAACATATATCATTCATTTACAACTTTGGAACAACATCAGCAGGAAATGTTGCTATATAAAAGACCTACCATAGTAAACTGTGATAAGAACTGTGATAGAGATAAATGTTTACATCTGTCAACATTTGCTGACCAGAAAACATATTAACTCTAAGAGAAATTATCTCTGTTTACATTATCAGAGACAATGGCTTTTTAAGTTAAGGAAATGTTTACAAGGTTCCTTACGTTAAGAAGGAAGTCAATACAAGGTTCCTTACGTTTACCAACACAAATTAAGCCAAGTCAACTTCTGCCAGGAATAGATGAAGCCAGGATGTTTCAGGCTGGAAAAAACATCTATCATTCCGCATTTCTGTGTACGAACCGCATTTCTGTGTATGAACCCACACGATCTCTCCGATCATCTGGAGAGGCCTTGCTCACGCTCCCACCTCTGTCGCAGGTGTGACTGGTGGGGACGAGGGAGAGGGCCTTCTCGGTGGTGGCACCTCGTCTCTGGAATTCACTCCCCAAGGACATTAGGCATGCCCCAACTTTGGCAGTCTTTAGGAGGAGTCTGAAAATGTGGTTCTTCCAATGTGCCTTCCCAGAATAAGAAACTCCCTGCAATCTGTCCTTAAATGCACTTTATTAATGACCTAGGATTGTTTGCACACCCATCACTTTCTGAAAACCCTACCCTAATCATATTTTACCTGCCATGTCCAGCATATTTTAAATTTTAAATTATTACATTTGGCCCAGCCATAAGTTTTTAAATGTCGTTGTGCTATTGCTAATGTTTATTGCTTATTTTCTGTTATGAGTTTTATGTACTGCTTGTATTACTGTTGTTTTTGCTTTTGTTATTGCTGTGTTGTGGGCTTGGCCTCATGTAAGCCGCACCGAGTCCCTTGGGGAGATGGTAGCGGGGTACAAATAAAGTATTATTATTATTATTATTATTATTATTATTATTATTACTATAATTATTATTATATTATTCATTTACAACTTTGGAACAACATCAGCAAGAAATGTTGCTGTATAAGAGACCTTATTACAATCCAAAATTTGTGACAGACAGCTGTCACCCGCCATGCTCTGCTCCTTGGAAAGGAGAGAGATGGTGAAAAGTTATTCATAACCTCTTGACAGACAGCCATCCATCCAGCTCTTTTCAAAACCTCCAGAGAAGGCGACCCCATCACACTCAGAATCCAAAGGTCATTTTTCTTGAATTCTTCTTGATATAGGAATGACCAGAACGAAACCTAGTTTTGCCCTCACCTTTGATTCTCTTCCAGCAGCTTCTGGATGCGACCCGTGACCCCTTTCTCCATCTCTTTGAGTTGCCCCAGTAGCTTCACGCGCTCCTCTCCCAGGCGTTGCTGGTGTCGGGTTAGTCCTTCCTCCAGACGTACTTGGTCCTGACGCCAAGGAGAAAGGCACAACAATGGAACGGATTTCGGTGGCGAAAGACTAGTGCTAGTAGAAATAGACAGATTAACGACTTTCCTAAAGGATGAGTCCCTTGAAGAATGAGAATATGACTGCCATATCTGATCTTTTCCAACTCTATGATTCTATTATTTGCCCTCAAGTCTGTAGGAACTTCTCCTGTTCTCCAGGAATTTGCAAAGATGGTTACCAATGGTTCTTTTTGTACTTTTGGAAGTACTTCGTCTGGAGACTTGAATTCATTTAGATTAATCAGATATTCCTGTGCTGCCCCTTTACCTATGCTGTGCTGCCTTTCCTCTACTGCATCCTCCTCAATTCTTGGGCCAAAAGCCTATCATTTCAATAAGTTTCACTGTTATCTACTGTTTTATGTATCTGCACAAAGTTCAGGGACATAGATACGGGGTTATATGTAAATAAATCCAAAATATACAGTCCAAACCACTGGTTTTAATGCTCGGATCTTAAGGGAGATGGAAGACAGAGTACCTCCTTCATGCTCTCGAGGATTTCTTCTTTCTGGGCATTGTTTTGGTGCATAAGCTGTGCTTGTTCCCGCTGTTCCAGGTTCAGCCAGCGCTCGAACTCCAGCTTTTCTTGCATTTTCTGCTCCTGAAACAGCAAGAAAGCTTTGCATTCATACAACCGAATGGTCTGTGGAGTTAGGAATTGTGGGAGTTGAAGTCCAAAACACCTGGAGGGAGGGCTGAAGTTGGCCCATGCCTGTTATATAGGGCATGGGCCAACGTCCATATATTATTATTATTATTATCCGCCTCTCCTCACAGCTCGAGGCTGGTTACAGAATAATTAAAATGCATACACATGATCTCTTACCTTCCGCTTTTCGTAGTCCAGGAATTTGTTCTGGAAAGGAAGGAAAAGAGGGCAACCGAGCTTGAATGCAAGAACCACTCTGATAATATACTGCCAGCCCAAGATAATAATACAACTTGGATACTCACCTGCCATTCGGCCTCATTTTCCATGTATTTCTTGACCCTGTCCACCACTGTTTCCCCTCCATCACTTTCTAACACAGGAAGTAAATACTGAGAAGGAGGATTGTATTCAATTCCTAATTCTAGAAGGAAAGGAAAAAACACATGTAAGATACAGAAGTGTGGTGCAGCGGGAAAAATGTATCGACTTTCTTGTGGTGTTCTTGGTTCGAATCCCTCTTAAGCCACAAAGATCAAGAAGTGTTTGATATTAAACCATGGTGTAGTGTGATATGTGAATGTTGCCTTGCTTTATGTATCCTTGCCACCGCTTCTCCTTAATACTAAACCATGACTTAGTGTGATTTGAAATGTGAGCTTGCTATAGCTCCCTTCTCACTATCTCTCTTCGAGTATTTCTCATCCAAGTTATCACTCAGGGCAAAATCAAATAGCAGTGGTTAACATTAAACCATGGCTTAGTGTCATGCTCAAATGTGAGCTTGCTTTAGCTATATTGACTTAGCTATCTTCTCCACCATCTCTTCTTAATATCAAGCCATGGCTTAGTGTGATCCTTGAATGTGGGTTGGCTTTAGCTAGCTTCTCAGCACTTCTCAGTGTACCTAATTTGCTCACCTTCACACAGAAACTTCTGAATGGCCTCCGTGCCAATGCTGCAGATCTCACAAGGTGGGTAGGTCATGGAGGAGGCATTTAGCGTCAGCGTCTGCCAAACAAATAGGTAGAAACACACATGTAAACAAATAAATCCGTTCATACACTCCAGACAAGGTGTTGCTGCAGGTATGTACATGTGTGTATGTTCATACGCTTGCAAAGGCCCTCTTGATGCAGCCTAGAATGCATTGGCCTTTTTAGCTGCTGCACCCCACTCTTGGCTCACGGTCAGCTTGAGGTCCATTGAGAGTCCTAGATCCCTTTTAACGTGGATAGTTTTCAAGACAGGTGTCTCCCAACCTAGATCTGTGCATTTCATTTCTGCCTACATCAAATGCCTGACTTTCCTCCCTGTTGAAATGAGCTTTGCCGGCTTCCTCGGCCTACCTCCAATGTCCGGATGTGAGCGATCGCCAGGGGCAACGCCTGGACGAGGTTTTCGCTGACGTCCAAGGTCCGCAGGCTGCGTAGGCCTCCCAAGGTAGTGGGCAAGTCCTTGAGTCTGTTGCCTGCAGGAGAAAGGTGGCTTGTTTTAATGGACTAGCCGATGATACACATACACTGTCTGAACCGAGTTATATTATTCCCCTACCTTTCAAGTTAAGGGTCTGCAACTGGTCGAGGTCCCCAAGAGAATCCGGAAGCACCTTTAAGAGGTTTTTCTCCACATTTAGGACCTGGAAACAGAAAGAAAGGAGATCTTGAGTTGTTCCTCTTCCATCGTGACTGAATCAAGGTAGGATGACCTACTTCAGTGGAATTCCGCTTACAGTACAGACCCTCACATTCTGATTCCTGAACGTCTGTAATTGTCTATTTACCTTTCACTGTGAAATGAAATTTCTGCTGTGTATTTTTCAAATACTCTGCTATTTTGGGGCATTTCCCTAAGAGAATTAACACAATGTATTGTCGAAGGCTTTCATGGCCGGAGTCACTGGGCTGTTGTTTTTCGGGCTATATGGCCATGTTCTAGAGGCATTATCTCCTGATGTTTCACCTGCATCTATGGCAAGCATCCTCAGTGGTAGTGAGGTCTGTTGGAACTAGGAAAAAGGGTTTATATATCTCTGGAACGACCAGAGATATATAAACAAAGGGCTCTTCTCTGCTGGAGCTAGGTGTGAATGTTTCAACTGACCACCTTGATTAGCATATAATGGCCTGACATTGCCTAGAGCAAACTTTTGTTGAGAGGTGATTAGATGTCCTTGTTTGTTTCCTCTCTGTTGTTAACACAGTTTGACTCCAGTGCTACGGAGACATGGATGGCGACATTTTCCAAAGTCTTCAGCCTTCTCTGCCGAAGATTGCAGGCATCTCCCTAAACTTCAGCTCCTATGATTTCATAGCATTGAGCCACAGAAGTTAAAGTGGGGCTGAACTGCATTAATTCTACAGTGTAGACACACCCTCACACTACCACACTTCTTTACCTGGAGAGATTTCAGCTGACCGATATCAGCAGGCAGGGACGTCATCTGGTTGTCATGCAGATCCAAAACCTGCCAAGGAAAAGAAGGAAGGGAGCTATAACCCAACTAAAAGATCATGGGTTTCTCAGTAAATAAACAAAGACAAGTCTGAAACATACAAAGCTATCACATTAGCCACTGTCAGAAAGGACAGAGAATTTCATCTATGATGATGATCGTGCCATCACTGCTTAAGAAGGGAGCTTTGAAATGGTTGAACAGAAGCTCTCCAAAGCTAGCTCCATCAATGTTCAACATGCACACAAATGACCAGCCACTGGCAAAAGGAACAGAGAGTTTCATCTATGCTGACGATCATGTAATCACCACTCAAGCAGGGAGCATTGAAATGGTTGAACAGAAGCTCTCCAAAGCTTTAGCTAAGTGGTTCTCAACCTGTGGGTCTCCAAATGTTTTGGCCTTCAACTCCCAGAAATCCTAACAGCTGGTAAACCGGCTGGGATTTCTGGGAGTTGTAGGCCAAAATACCTGGGGACCCACAAGTTGAAAATCACTGCTTTAGGTGCTCTTACTGCCTTTTACAGGAAAAACCAGCTGATCCTTAATCCATCTAAAATGCAGACGTATGCTTTTCACCTCATTCTGAGGATGACCTGGGAAGGAATCCCACTGGAGCATTGCAGCACATCCAAAAAAAAAAAACCACCAGGGAGTCACTCTGGACCATGCTCTGACTTACAAGAAGCACTGCTTGACTATCAAGCAGAAAAGTGGGTGCTAAAAATAATATCATACGAAAGCTGACTGGTACAACCTGGGGATCACAAACAGATACCGTGAAGACATCTGCCCTTGTGCTTTGCTACTCTGCTGCTGAATGTGCACGCCTGGTGTGGACTACATCCCACCACGTTAAAACAGTGGATGTGCTTCTTAGAGACATGCCGCATTATCACAGGATGTCTATATACATCCTACACCACTGGAGAAATTATACTGTTTAGCCAGTACTGCACCACCTGACATCCACTGGCAACTAATAAAAGGACCAAGGCAGTGACATCTCCGGCCCATCCTCTGTTCAGATATCATCTTAATACCTACAGAGATACTTGCAGAAACACCTCAGCAAGCAAGAGTCCAAAAGTGGCAGGCTAAAACCTTAACTAGTGGCTAAGAAACTCCTTCCTGGGCACACAGAAGATAAGGCAACCTGGAAGGCTCTGAACAGACTGCGCTCTGGCACCACAAGATGGAGAGCCAACCTTAAGAAATGGGGCTACAAAGTGGAGTCCACGACATGTGAATCCAGAGAGGAGCAAAGCACAGACCACCTATTACAATGCAACCTGAGCCCTGCCACGTGCTCAATGGAGGACCTTCTCACAGTGACACCAGGCACTCCAAGTGGCCAGCTTCTGGTCAAAGGAAATTTGTATAATGCCATGTTTTTAACTTCGTTTGTGGTTTTTTTTGGTATATTATAACGGTATTCTCAATTCACTTCTGACACGATAAATAAATACCACGTGGTTTTATCTTTCTCCTCATTTCTTGTCCTATAAGGAGAGTTGGGGAATAGATCTGAATATTGTCCACTATCCCTTAGCCATAAGGAAGTCTAGCATCTGTTGGACCTCCAGTCTCCTATTCTGGCCCATAAGTCTCCATCTGATACCTTTCAATCCATGTCCAAATGTCAAGTTACCTTCACTGTTATGAGGCTCAAGAGGTTGCAGGATTTGGGGATGAGCGACGTCAAGGAATTGGTGTGAGCGATCAACACCTGGCCAAGAAACAACAACAAAGGAGGAATGTAATTTTATTTATTTATTTATTATTCAAACTTATATGCCGCCACTTCTCTGGGGCTCAGAGTGGCTTACAAGAGCAGGCTAAAATCTAACACAATTTAAAAACAATTTAAAACAATTTAAAAACAACAATATCACAGATCAAAGGCCTGTCAAAAGAGATATGTCTTACATGCCCTGCGGAAAGCTGATAGGTTCCGCAAGGCACGGACTTCAGGTGGCAGAGTATTCCAGAGTGATTATGCCACTGCTGTAAAGGCTCTGCGCCTGGTTGCTGTTAGACGCAAGGTCTTGACACTGGGAATTTCCAATACTCCTGACCTCACGATCATGTTAAAAAAAAAAAAGAGTGTGGATTGTCGATGTTGCAATCCAAGGTGACAGCAGGATTGCAGAGAAACAACTGGAAAAGCTGACACGATATGAGGGTTTAAAGATCAAACTGCAAAGACTCTGGCACAAGCCAGTCAAGGTGGTCCCAGTGGTGATCGGCACACTGGGTGCAGTGCCTCAAGACCTTGGCCTGCACTTAAACACAATCAACGCTGACAAAATTACCACCTGTGAGCTGCAAAAGGACATCCTACTGGGATCTGCACGCATTATTCGCTGATACATCACATAGTCCTAGACACTTGGGAAATGTCCGACTTGTGATCCAATACAACAGCCAGCAGAGTGACCTTGTTTGCTGTGTACTAATCTTGTTGTGTTTCAAATAATAAACAACAACAACAACAACAAAGGAGGAATATTGCAACTGTGCTGGCAACCAGGAGCCATCCTCTTGACTTGGGAGACATTTTATGGAATATTTCCATTTATTGCTTCCCTTACCTTCTTCTGCAGGACTTTACAGGTGGCAAAAGCACCATAGGGAAGCTAAAGGTGTGTACAAACAAACAAAAAAGAGAAACAAAATACAGATCAGAGCAAATATAATGGGGGGAGAAGCACTCAGATTTCTGCAAGCTTCCCATGTGACACTAACTGAGAGTGGAGCCAAGGCCATGGCCACAGAAAATGGCATTGTTGCCGTTTTCATGGTGGATTCCTAATATCTATCCTCCCCCTCCCCAAGTTCCACGAGAAAGAAATGTACCTCTGAGAGTTCACATTTGGATATATCAAGGATATCATCCGCTCCGGCTTCCTTTGCCTGTTAAGAGAGAAAGATTGTGAAACTGAACAGACATTTCCGCCCACAAGACAAGCAGGTTCAAAGGTTCGCCAACAACGATGACACATCCTGTTGTGGTTGTTGTTTACTATGTTAATCACCAGTGGCATACTTCTTTTTCTTGGCTGCTATACATCATCATCATTATCATGATTATTATCAGTTGCATTCATCATCTATGACAGAGCTATTATTATTATGGGACATGACATCTTTGGTGTCATGTCTCATGTTGTTATTATTATCATTTACTAGCTGTATCCGTCACGCGTTGCTGTGGCCAACCATCCCTCCCTCTTTCTCTCCTTCTTTCCCTCCTTCCTTTGCTCCCTCTTTCCTTCTCTCCTTCTCTACCTTTCCTTCCTTCCCCCCTTTTCTTTTCCTTCTTTTTTCTCTCCTTTCTTCTTTCTCTACCTCTTTCTTTCCTTCCTTCACTTTTTGATTCCATCCTGCCTTCTCTCTTTCCTTCCTCCCCTCCTTCCTTCGCTCCCTCTTTCCTTCCTTTCCTTATTTTCTTTCCATCTCTCCTTCCTTCCTTCCTTCCTTCCTTCCTTKCCTCTTTCCTTACTTCCCCCTTTCTTTTCCTTCTTTTCTCTCTCCTTCCTTCTCTACCTCTTTCCTTCCCTTATTTTCTTTCCTTCTCTCCTTCTCTACCTCCTTCCTTCCTTCCTTCCCCCTTTTATTTTCCTTTTTCTTTCTCTCCTTTCTTCCTTCTCTACCTCTTTTCTTCCTTCCTTCACTCTTTGGTTCCTTCCTTCCTTCTCCCCTTCCTTCCCTTTTTTCTGTATTGTCATTAAGCTTTTCATCATTTAGCTTTTTTGGGTTTCTAAGTCCTTTCTGCTGCTTTTTTTTGGGGGGGGGGGTTATGAGTGATGGTCACTCATTGGTCTGTTAGGGATACAGTGTGGACATCATTCCCCAGATATATAAACCCCACTTGCCTCATTTTCAGCAGATTATCTTGCTTATCATCCATACTAATATATTTTAATGCTTGATAATAGCCCTCAATCATGATGGAAGATTATCACACACCTCTGAGGATGCCTGCCATAGATGTGGGTGTAACATCCGGTGAGAATGCTACTGGAAGATGGCCAGACAGGGCGGAAAACTCACAGCAACCCATTGATTCTGACCATTAAAGAGATTTGTAGTTTGCCGACTCACCAGGCACATCTGGTACTCCAGGCGCTTGCGGGCTTCATCGCTGGGCTTCCTTTTCCGGAAGAAGTGCATCATTTTCTCCTTTCCGCAACTCTTAGAAGGCCTGCTTTCTCGTCCAGGTCTAAGAAGGCCTGCTTTTTCCCTTCCCCAGCTTTTAGAAGGCCTACTTTCTCTTCAAAGTCTAAGAAGGTCTGCTTTCTCCCTTCCCCAGCTCTTAGAAGGCCTACTTTCTCATCCAATTCTAAGAAGGCCTGCTTTCTCCTTTCCCTGGCTCTTAGAAGGCCTACTTTCTCGTCCAGGTCTAAGAAGACCTGCTTTCTCCCTTCCCCAGCTCTTAGAAGGCCAACCTTTTCATCCAGCCCTTTAGAGGCCGAAGGCAATCAGGTGAGCAAGGACAACCTGAGCAGCAGGAATATCTGCATTGACATAATAATAGTATTATAATAATATTACAATAATAATAATAATAATGATAATATAAATATAGTAAAATGAGATGATGATCCAGAAAGCCAGAGATCCTTAGCAATGATCCTGGACTGTCTAGCCCAAAAAAGCCCAAAATCCACCTTGATCTTCCAGGTAGGTAAATAAACCCCAAAGGAAAGAGAGAAATGTCAAAGTGATTTCCTGGCCACGCCCAGAAACAGAAAGGGAGGGGCTCTTTCTGTGAGCAGCCCCGCCCACTTCCTGTTGCACCATTGGCAGCCTTAGCGGGCCTCAAGCCACGCCCACCTCTGCTGCTGCCATGACCAATACCTTTCCTGTAACGCTAATGGAAGAATATTGTCCCTTCCCTCTTATCGTAGTCTGTTCTCGTACCCTTTTCCTTGTCCTGTTGCCCTCAAATAAAATGGCTCCTTTGTCCTCTTTTCCAATTCTGTTCTCGCGTTGCCAGGGAATGGTGTTAGGAGACGACAGCGACGCGTAATCTCGCGAGACTTTGGTGAGTTATATATAAAAACTCAGGCGATCTCGGCGGCCCTTTTGGTTTGAGCTTTCAGAGTCGTCGCGTTGTTCGGTTTATCCGCCGCCATCCGCCGCCATGCCGCCCAAATTCGACCCCAACGAGATTAAAGTCGGTAAGTCTTGTGTCCCGGGAGTTTTATTCACGTGATTTTTTGCCGCTAGGGCCCATTGAAACGCGTGGACTCGGGCTTGGACTTTGTGAATGCTCAGATGCGTGTCCACGCAGGCTTTGGCCTACAAAGGCATAGAGATAGGCCTTTCATGTAATCCTAGAGTGGGATAGGCCTTTCTTAGAATCCTAGAGATAGGCCTTTCATAGAATCCTAGAGTGGGCCATCCAGTCAAACCCCATTCTGGCAAGAAGCAGGAAAATTCCATTCAACTCACCCCCGACAGATGGCCATCCAGCCTGTTTAAAAGCCTCCAAAGAAGGAGCCTCCACCACACTTCGAGGCAGAGAGTTCCACTGCTGAACAGCTCTCACAGTCAGAAAGCTCTTAATGTTCAGATGGAATCTCTTATTTATTTATTTATTTACTTTGCTTATATACCGCTGTATCTCAAGCCCGAAGGCGACTCAACAGCGGTTCACAAACAGTAAAAACAGTAGAAACAGCAGTGGTTCCATACAACATATAACAATTGACTTAACACATTATCCATAAATTACCAATAAGCAATTACAATGCACAATTATTACAAAAAACAACCGTACCCAATCTTCTCATCATCCAAGCGTAGTCCAGGTTCGTCGTCCATTGTTCCATTCTTATGTTCCATTACCAGATTGCACTAAATTACTCAAACGCCTGCACAAACATCCAGGTCTTCACCTTTTTGCGGAATACCATTAGAGATGGTGCTAGTCTAATGTCCGTAGGAAGGGCGTTCCACAGCCGAGGAGCCACCACCGAGAAGGCCCTATCTCTCGTCCCCGCCAGCCGAGCTTGAGAAGCAGGCGGGATCGAGAGCAGGGTCTCCCCGGAAGATCTCAAAGTCCTGGTGGGTTCATAGGCAGAGATGCGGTCGGATAGGTAGCTTGGGCCGGAACCGTTTAGGGCTTTAAAGGCCAACGCCAGCACTTTGAATTCAGCCCGGTAGCAGATCGGTAGCCAATGGAGTTGCGCAACAGGGGGGTTGTATGCTCCCTGCGCTCCGCTCCTGTTAGAATCATGGCTGCCGCACGTTGGACTAATTGAAGCTTCCAAGCAGTCTTCAAAGGCAACCCCACATAGAGAGCGTTGCAGTAGTCTAAACGGGATGTAACCAGAGCATGGACTACCGTGGCCAAGTCAGACTTCCCAAGGTACGGGCGCAGCTGGCGCACAAGCTTTAGCTGTGCAAATGCTCCCCTGGTCACCGCCGAAACCTGGGGTTCCAGGCTCAGCGATGAGTCCAGGGTCACACCCAAGCTGCGAACCTGCGTCTTCAGGGGGAGTGCGGCCCCATCCAACACAGGCTGTAACCCTATGCCCTGTTCGGCCTTGCGACTGACCAGGAGGACCTCTGTCTTGTCTGGATTCAATTTCAATCTCTTGCTGCCCTAGTCTCGGGGAAGCAGAAAATAAGCTTGCTCCCTCCTTATGACTTCCTCTCACATCTTGATCCATGGCCCTCATCATGTCTCCTCTCAGCCTTCTCTTCTTCAGGCTAAACATGCCCAGCTCTTTAAGCTGCTCCTCATAGGGTTTGTTCTTCAGATCCTTTGTTATTGGCTGATTTGACAAGCAAATCCAAGGCAGAAGTGGAAATGCATAGGAATGGAAACATACTGATTTTGGAGTATTTAATTTATTTACATCATTTCTACCCCCGTGGGACGACGACGACTCAGGGCGACTTACATGGGCAACAATTCAATGCCATAATATTAATACAACAATGTAAAATCAAATACAAAGCAAATTAAACAATAACATTAATTAAAATCACATACTCATATACTAACATAGTCGCCTAATCAAAACTACATATTTGTTTCCAATTGTCATAACAATCCTATGGTCTAAGCTGAAGGCCTGGCTCTAAAACCACGACTTTAGTTTTTCCTCAAAGTAAGGAGGGAGGATGCCGATCTAATCTCTCTGGGGAGCGAATTCCACAAGCGGGGGGCCGCCACTGAGAAGGCCCTGTCCTTCGTCCCCACCAGACGCGTTTGTGACGCCGGTGGGACCGAGAGCAGGGCCTCCCCAGTAGATATATTTTTCAAATGTCATAAATTATTTTTTCCTTATTGCACATCTATACATGTATCTATTAATATAAAATTTAGTAATTAGGTTGCAGAATGTGTATGTATTATTAGGTAAAGGTTTTTCCCTGACATTAAGTCCAGTTGTGTCCGACTCTGGCAGATGGTTCTCATCTCCATGTCAAAGATAAAGAGCCGTCGTTGTCCATAGACACCTCCAAGGTCATGTGGCTGGCATGACTGCATGGAGCGCAGTTACCTTCCCGCTGGAGCTGTGCCTATTGATGTACTCACATTTGCATGTGTTTGAAATGCTAGGTTGTCAGAAGGTGGGGCTTAACAGCGGGAGCTCACACCGCTCCCCGGATTCGAACCTGTAACCTTTCGGTCAACAAGTTAAGCAGCGCAGTGCTTTAACTCGCTGCGCCATCAGGGGCTCCATACACACATGCACACTATAAACCTATATTTTAGAGAGAGTGTATTTATTTATTTACGACATTTATATGCTGCCCTTCTCACCCCGAAGGGGACTTAGATCGACTTACAAGTTATATATATATATATATATATATATATATATATATATACACACACACACACAATATATTATATTATTAGCATAGTACAATATCAGTTTTAAATATTGCTATATTGTACTATACCAATTATATTGTAATATTATTAGTAATATTACATGTAATACAAATATATAATTATAATATATTATTATTAGTATATATATATATAATATATATATACACACACACACATTCTATATTTATATCCTGTATATCTACATATTCTGATATAGGAATATATATACTACAAACCTATATTTTAGTGTTTATATAGTGTATATATAAATACATTTTAGTGTGTGTATATATACATATATACATATAGTATATCTGTGTGTGTATATATAGATTTATATATAAAAATACTACATACACATTCTGCAACCTAATTACTAGCAGTTAAAGTGGTGACAAACTGCATTAATTCTACAAAGTAGATCAGGCACGGGCAAACTGAAGTCCAAAACACCCAGAGAGACAAAGTTTGCGCAAGCCTGATACAGATGCACTATAACACACTACTTTCCTACTGCTTTTTTAGGTCTGTGTATGGTTGACATACCATATTTGGTATGGTGGAGGCTCCTTCTTTGGAAGCTTTTAAACAGGCTGGATGGCCATCTGTCAGGGGTGCTTTGAATGCAATATTCCTGCTTCTAGGCAGGGGCTTGGACTGGATGGCCCATGAGGTCTCTTCCAACTCTAGGATTCTATACTGATTTTGGGCCCTGTTTTTTCAATTTCTCCCTTAGTCTACTTGAGATGTACTGGAGGTGAAGTCGGGGCGACGTCGGCACTGGCTCCAAAAATCGGGCCTCTCGGTCTGGTAAGTTCTCTCTTTAAAGCTGAGTATTTTCTAACTATATATTAAATATGGTATATATTTTGCTACGTTTCTGAAAACCAGTAAAAACATTCACTATTGAAACAGAAAGACCCAGTCTGTAATACAAAAATAATGATACACTGTCTGTTGTGCTTACTTGAGTTTCTCCAAGAAAATAAATTTTGACCATTTTTGTTCCTTGTTCGTCTTCTAGTCTCCCAAGAAGGTAGGGGATGACATTGCCAAGGCCACCGGCGACTGGAAGGGGTTAAGGATCACCGTGAAGCTGACCATCCAGAACAGGCAAGCGCAGGTACAAGACATGCCAAAAGGGAGGGTTCTACGGCCAAAGCCCCGGATCACGAAAAGACTCCGGATTGGCTGGAGCCACGAACCGGAATCCCGGCAGGGTCCACTCAGCCCTTCATCCTTCCGAGGTCGATAAAATGAGTACCACACAGTGTGTGGGAAATCTGGGGGGCCTTAAAAGTCCGGCCCTTTAAGAAATTTTGAGTACAATCCATATTGGGTTGCTTTGGTATTGCAAATGAAGCCAGAAACAACATATTTCCTGTGTACCTTTTGGGAGCTGTGGGTGGATGTCTACAGTGTTCTTGGGTGCAAATAACACTGTAGGAAGAATATTAGGAAAAATCCTTCCTGATGGTAAGAGCCGTTCGATAGTGAGATAGGCTGCTGCCTCGTTGAAAAAAATTGCATCTCCATTTTTGGAAGTTAATAAACAAGCTGTATCGCCAGTGGTCGGGAGTGCTTGGATTGTGGAATTGGACTGAATGACCCTTGGAGACCCTATTGACTTACCTGTTCAAGCAAGCTTTTGACAAATTAAATTGCTAATGACAGTACAGTCAATTTGCACCGAGCTTAGCAAAATATACTATTTAATTGATGAGTTTTCACAATAATTGCAATGGTTTTAAAATACCTTTAATGCTTAATATTTATTTATATCTTATTTCTGGATGTTACTATGCTTTGCGTGATTTTTGTCTTGTATTTTATGTTAAATATGTTTTATTTGTACTGTATTATATTGTGAGCCACTTTGGGTCATGTTAGGGAAATATATTTACATTTATTGTGTGGTTGGACTAGAGAGCCCTTGGGGTCTCCTTCAACTCTTTATTGTGGGGTTGGACTGGATGGCCCTTGGGTCTCTTCCAATTCTATTTACTTTTATTGTGGGGTTGGACTGGATGGCCCTTGGAGTCTCCACCATTTTTATTGTGTATCAAAACACTCTAAAATCAGGACAGTCTATAAAGAACAACACTAAAAATGGGAATTCCAGACAAGAAACAATCAGGGCCAACTAACACCTTCCAACCAAGGACTCCCCTGAGGCACGAAGCAGCCAGGCTCTGGGGATGCCCCCCATAGATGTGGGCAAAAGTTCAGGAGAGAATGCTTCCGGAATATGGCCAGACAGCCTGGAAACCTCACTGCAACCCAATAGTTAAGGTTTCCATTGTAGGATTTGCAAGAGAACCAAAATGTATTGTCGAAGGCTTTCATGGCCGGAATCACTGGGTTGTTGTAGGTTTTTTCGGGCTATATGGCCATGGTCTAGAGGCATTCTCTCCTGACGTTTCATCTGCATCTATGGCAAGCATCCTCAGAGACAGTGAGGTCTGTTGGAACTAGGAAAAGGGTTTATATATCTCGAATGACCAGGGTGGGACAAAGGACTGCTGGATCTAGGTGTGAATGTTTCAACTGACCACCTTGATTAGCATATAATTGCCTGACAGTGCCTGGAGCAAATTTTGTTGAGAGGTGATTAGATGTTCTTGTTTGTTTCCTCACTACCTCTGAGGATGCTTGCCATAGATGCAGGCGAAACATCAGGAGAGAATGTCTCTAGACCATGGCCATATAGCCCAACAAAACCTAAAACAACTCAGAACCAAAATGGTTCATCCCAGAGATCTCTGAACCATGTTGTGGACCTTGGATACTCTGTTATAAGGCAGCTGTAGAAGGTAGACTCTTTGACGTGTGTTGACATTGCTTCCTTCCAGATTGAAGTGGTCCCTTCCGCCTCCGCCTTGATCATTAAAGCTCTGAAAGAGCCTCCCCGCGATCGGAAGAAGCAGAAAAATAGTGAGTATCTGGGTGCAGTTGTGGGATACATGAGATGATGATGTTGGTGATTTATATCATGCTTTTTTCTCTCGGGGAAAAAAACCTCAAAGTTGCATAGAGTAAAGCCAGTACAATACAATTGCAAACCTAAAAGTATACAAACATTAAAATAGAATTCAATATTGTGTTGAAAATAAGTATATATGTCATGACCTTATTTCCTGGTAGACCTGGCATGTGTATATTTGAAACAAAGGGGAGGGTTGCCGTGGAAACGGGAGCAATGAATGAGAGGGGCCAGGGTGAGGGAAATAAACTGTCAGTTGGAATTTTGTTTCGTACGCCAATGCATACTTTTGAATAAAGCCTTTCCACTTTGTACGTGAGACCAGGAAGAGAAAAAGAGTTCCAAGCATGGTATATGGAATATAGAGATGCCCTCTTTCCCTGTTTTTCCAGACTAGTTGTCTTATTTGTCTGCCTTAGCCACCCGCCACTGTGCCGGCCTGCTTACTCAGCCATGGCTGTTCACAATCCAGTGGTGAGCTGAGAGGAAGCCCCCATTCTAGGAAACAGGCTTGCCCTCTCTGTGGGTAACTCTGTGCCGATGAATGGGAACAATAATATTTGTGTCAACAAACCAAGTATTTGCTGTCCCTTTAAAAACTGGTTTTGTGCACCACTCACAGCAAGACTGATGTGTATTCTTTTGTTCACAGTTAAGCACAATGGCAACATCAGCTTCGATGAGATTGTGAATATCGCCCGGCAGATGCGGCACAGGTCCTTGGCCCGGGAGCTCTCCGGTAAATGCCATTCTTTCTCTGCTACAGTATGCACTATCCCATTCCCTTGTCTTGTTTACAGTTTGGCCATGTCTTACAGCAGCTGTCGCCATAGGTTATTGGACGTTGTTCTGAGTTGCAAATGGTTTTATATTCTATTGCAGTGTTGCTCAACCTGGGGGTCGGGACCCCTGGGGGGGTTGCGAGGGGGTGTCAGGGATCGCCAAAGACAATTAGGAAACACCTTTTAAATTTTTAAATTGCTTTGAACAGGCAGGATTACTTTTAATATATGTGTGTTATGGCGACAATTTTTATGCTTATATTGTTTTGTTAATCTTACGGTTATGTTGTTTTACTTTGTGTGTTTTGTGATGTTACTTCAGAATCGCTCTGAGTCCCCTCGGGGAGATAGAGCGGTATATAAATAAAGTTTTATTATTATTATTCTGGCTTACATACAAATTCAGTTTACGAACAGACCTACAGAAGTTATCTCATCGGTACCTTGGGGGCTGCCTGTAAACAACAGCTTATGGCCACTATTGAGGATTGTACTCCATGTTAGGCCTTCCCTCCTTGAACAATTATTGTATTTTGAACCTCCAGGAACTCTTTCTCAAGTGACTGTTCATTTCCTTCCTCCTCCCCAGGAACCATTAAAGAGATCCTTGGAACGGCCCAATCGGTGGGCTGCAATGTCGACGGGAGGCACCCCCATGACATTATTGATGACATCAATAGCGGCGCCGTTGAATGCCCAACAGTAAGTGCCTGCTTCCTATTAAACCGGGCATGGGTCAACTTTGGCCCTCCCTCTAGGGTGTTTTGGACTTCCAACTCCCACAATTCCTAACAGGAATTGTGGGAGTTGAAGTCCAAAACACCCTAGAGGGAGGGCCGAAGTTGGCCCATTTCTGTATAAGACATTTTCACTGAACCGGCTCATCCTTTTAAAAATATTTCTCTTCTCCCCAACAGAGCTAAAATTGCTGCCTGATTGGATCCAGCGCCACGTTGTGAATTAAAAATTTGCCTGGTTCAGGATGTGTGAAGGTCTGTTTCTTGCCTGAGCCACTTCTTATGGACTCAAGGAGCGGGGAGGAACATCTCCGTATGTTGGGCAATATTGGTGGATCGGCCATTGCTCTTGTTGCTGCTCCATATAAAGGGAAGGCAGCCTTTCCCAAGTATTATAAAACATTGATAGAAAATTAATCAAGGTCCTATTGCTCCGGATCAGCGGTTCTCACCCTGTGGGTCCCCAAGTGTTTTGGCCTACAACTCCCAGAAATCCTAACAGCTAGTAAACTAGCTGGGATTTCTGGGAGTTGTAGGCCAAAACACCTGGGGACCCACAGGTTGAGAACCACTGATCTAAAGGCACTAGATCCAAACTGGATCAGTATTTGGATGAAGCACCACCAAGGAATACCAAGTGCTATATAACCTCTTCTAAGTATTATTATCTTCCACTTTTCTCTATTGAGACATAGCTTTCTTTCTTAGTCCTGTGATAATTTCAGATCCTTTTATCCAGGTTAAGAATCCCTATATCAGTGTTTCCCCACCTTCCTAATGCTGCGACCCCTTAATATTTATTTATTTACGAAGTTTATATGCCGCCCTTCTCACCCTGAAGGGGACTCAGAGTGGCTTACAAGGTATATATTACATACAATATATTATTTGCATAGTACAATATCAGCATTAAACATCGCTATATTGCACCATACCAATATATCATAATATTATTAGTAATATTACAAGTAATGTAAATATATGGTTATTATAATATATTATTATTATCATATTGCAGTACATTATAATATTATAAATATTATATGTGTATACAATATATTATATTATTAGAATAGCACTGGAGACAAGGTGGAACTGTCCCCTGGCCCCCTCTCTCTTCACCCTGGCCCAGAGTGACAGTTGGTGCTGGGGGGATGGGTCTCAGTTCCTCATGTTGTGGCGACCACCAAACCATAAAATTATTTTCATTGCTACTTCACAACTGTAATTTTGCTAATCGTAATGTAAATAATCCAATATGCAGGATGTATTTTCATTCACTGGGCCTGATTTGCCCAAATTTAAACACTGGTGGGGTTGGAGAAAAATAGACCTTGACATTTGGGGTAATCGCAAATGGACCAAAATGAGGTTGAGAGAGTAGCATTGTCTTAAGGTAGATTTGGAAATGTTTTAAATGGTGACTGCTGTCCCCAAAAGAGTGGTTTCACTTTTGCCTCTGTCTGCATAGTTTCCAAAGACCTTAATTATTATTTTTATTTACATCTTGGAAGTGGTTCAAGCCAACACACAGCTGGGAAAGATAGGAAAGGTGCATTTCAGGCTGTATTAGTCGTAACTGCAGCGTCACGGGGTGGTTCGTTGTGCTGGGAACAGAGCACTGGGCCTTGGGGCACTCTGCTTCATTGTTTCGGCGGCCTCACAGCGTCGAAAAGGGCCCCGTTTCGTGCTTCTTGGGTCGCCGGACGCCTTGGATGTAGAAACTCGGGGAGTTGGGCAGCCGGGCAGAGTGCCCCTTCTCCACATCGTAGGCACCGGGGCCTGGGGTGAGGTCTGTAAGCGAGGAAAAACAATATTGGGGTCACCTTTTCAAAGGAGGAACGAGAAAAGAGCTCCCAAGTTGAAGCTTGAAAAGAAGCATTAAAAGAGTCTTTTGGTGTGTGCCTTCCAGCTGGTATAATATAAATGAGTTCCTGAATATGTATATACAACAAAAAAACCACTTATACATAAAGTAAACAATAATAGAATTCAGCAAGCAGTTATATAGACATGTTGTACTGTTCAATTTCACAGTGATGTCAAACAATATTATGTAAATTTTGGTACAGTCTCTTTAAAATAATATCAATGTTGTATCTTATGTTGAGTGTAGATCAGCTGCCCATGACCGGTTTCGGCCTTACTTCAGGCCTTCTTCTGGTGGACTGTAATTAATGTATAAATCAATATTTTGCAACAGTTACATACATATTAAGTATCTTATACTAGAATGCATTCAAAGAAACTTGCTAAGTCTTCACACTTGTTATTACAACAATATTTGTTGAACACATCCATTAAACACCATGTGTTACAACACATTTAAGTGACTTACAAAGTTATACACATGAGAATTTGTTCTCCTTGGGAGATACAGGTTTTTGGCTCAGTAGTATCTAAATCAAAGGAACGAATTGTGGCTATGTGTGTTTGAGAATTACTAAGTTAAAAATGATTATTTTGTAAAAATATTAAGGTGTTTTACAAATTAGGAGGGTACTGAGCCAAAAACCTGTAAATGTAAACATCATCTGTAGTCAGTGTTTCCTCCATGTCTGCCCTTCGTATTTGGAGGAAAAGCAGTTCAGGACCATTTAAAAAAAGGATCTTGGCCATCCTCACCTTTTTTGGCCCATCCAAACACAATGTGTTGAGCCGGACGCATGATGAAGGAGGGTGATCGGAACAGCACATGCTTGTAGGCCCGGTCCGTGTTATACCTATTGGGTGCCGGGTCATCTATTGTAGCTGCAGAGATAAGACGAGATAAGAAAGCAGGAATTATAAGGACGACATCTTTGGGATAATCATTGTTGGGGTGACCCTGGAGGGTCTATCAAATCCGTGACCCCACAAGTGCAAGTTGCCCTTACTTTTGTTTACCCAAGAGAACTCCCCCTTGCGACCCATGGTGAAATTGGGACTGGTGGGCCGGTTGACCAGCATGGATCCCAAAGTTGGTCCGTAGTCGAAAGGAGATGGCCACTGCAGAGAAGAGATGGAGAATAAACTAGGATGTGGGAAAAGAATGTGCCACAAGTCATGTTGAATTGGTTTAGACCACGCATGAGCAAACTTTGGTCCTGGTATGTTGTGAGTTGTAGTTCACCCACCACCTTCCCAAACTGAACTTACATTTGTTTCCTGGGTATAATCTGTTTTCCTGTGGAAAGGGTTCTTGCTCTGGAACCAGGGTTTCTGCCAGGACCGGCGTCCACTGCCATCTTAAATGAAATAACCATTCAAAGCTTTGGTGGAGAGACAGGATATTGTCTGCTAATCTTATGGATTGGGTTACAAATAGCCATGGAAAGCATTGCAATGCTCCGTATTTCCCATTCTTACTACCTTTTGGAGGTGTTTTCCACCCAAAGGTGTAGGCTGGAGCGTTGCTTTCCCTGCAGTTCAAGACGGGAGGTGGATAAGCCGCCGGTCCTGGGCTATCGAGATTCGTTACAAGCTGCAGCCGACCTTCCGTGTGAGGTTCTGGGAGAAAACAGTGTGAAAGCAGGGATGTGATGCAGCAACTCGCTTTTGCCTGAGTCACCTGGGAAGTTTATAATCACTGGTGTTTGCATTTCTATTTACTAATCTCAAGAAGTGATACCCAAAGCTGTTCCCAGCCTTTAAAAACGATATGACCAAACTCAGACAAGAAGTAAATAAAATAGAATATGTAATACAAACTTATCCAACTTTTGTATTTTCTCTGTGTATTGTATGGCATCGAATGGCTGCCATTTATATTGTAAGCCGCACTGAGTCCCCAAGTGTCGTACTCCAAAACAGACTTGAAACACCACAATAGCTTGGTAAAATCAGTAAAATCCAAGATAATCCATCAGTTTTGAAAGGAAACCAGGTCCATTAGTACATAGAAATCCATGAAGCAAGGCATTTGATACCATGAAACAACACTCTCAGGCAAAAATTTAAACTCAGCATCAACTTGATAGATGAAACATAGAGCACAGAAAAACTTTACCTTGGCAACAACTTGATACATGAAACATAGAGCACAGAAAAACTTTACCTTGGCAACAACTTGATACATGAAACAGCACAGAAAAACTTACACTTGGCAATAACTTGATACATGAAACAGAGCACTTGAAAGCAAACAGGAAATGACAACTTGACTGAGGCATTCGACTCCCATGAATCATAAACCCTTTCCAAAGCCTGAAACTGAAAGGAACACATTCTTTCTCACTTTCCCACTAGATAACGGTTTGTTATCTTTCTTTTGCACCTGGTAAAACAATCACGGCATAATTTTCAGACTGTGGCTCTGAGGAAAGCGGTGAAAGGTCTTTCCCAGGAATGTGGCCTTGCTCAGGCTTCTCCTCTGAACTTAACACCGGGCCAGGCAAATGCCACATTCCCAGGCCCATTATCGGGAACACCATCCCCATTCCTATTATGCACATCAACATGACCGTCGTTCCCAACATGAACATCATCTTGAGCATCAGACACAATCACAGGCTGACCTACAACAACACATACAAGGGGAGATGGGATGGGGTATAAATAAAGATGGCAAGAGTTCAACCAAGACCATTGGAGTCAGTGTGAAGAGAGCAGAAGTTGCCTTCTTCCTTACTGCTTTGTTTTCCAGGATGGATGTCGGGGAAGAGCGGCGTTGTGTTGGTTTCTCTGCCTGCAAGAGCCCTGCAAAGAAACGCAGTGTGAGAAGGATCAGAAATCCCAGAAGGAAGGGAAATGAATTTGGAAGAGCGTAGAGAACTAGGGGTCCATCTACACTGGAATTAATGCAGTTTGACATCACTTGGGACCACCCTGGCTCAATGCAGTAGGATCCTAGAAGTTGTAGCCTGGCACACCTTGTACATGATTCCAGAGCATTGAGCTGTGGCTGTTAAAGTGGTGTCAAACTGCGATACTTATACAGTGTAGATCCCTGGCCTTACCGGTAGGGTTTTGGCTGCCTTTTGTAGAGCAATGGTTTGTTCAGGTATTGCTGGGCCAAGAACTTGGTGTGGATCAGCTGGTACTCCATATCTATGGCTCAGCGATGTTGGCGCTCTCCCATCTTTCAGAATGGCGGGCTGCGGCTTGTGTGACATCAGCGTGTTCTGTTCTATCTGATAGCAAGCCATCCTACCAGTGGTTGAAGATCCATCCTTGAGCCTACCAGTCGTTCAAATCCCTGAGACCAAGAGATAACTATCTTCTATCTCCAAGTCTCCAGGGCTAGATGAACCCCATCCAAGAGTACTGAAGGAACTAGAAGTGATTTCAGAACCACTGGCAATAATGTTTGAGCATTCTTGGAGAACAGGAGAAGTCCCAGCAGACTGGAGGAGGACAAAGGTTGTCCCCATCTTCGAGACATAAAAGGACAACCCAAACAATTCCCACTGTCCAGTCAGTCTGACATCAATACTCAAAGTCAACATGGATTCCTCAAAAACAAGTCATGCTAGACACCTCTTATCTCTTTCTTCGATGGAGTTGCAAGCTTGGTAGATGCAGGGAATGCCATGGATGGAGCAGATCTTGAGTTCAGGGAGGCCTTCCATAAAGTCTCCTATGACATTGCTTCCAACTAGTTGATTGTGGGCAAGGCAAGGCTACTATAAGGTGGATATGGAATTGGTTAAGCAGCCGAAACCAAAGGGTGCTTCTTCCCAATGGTTCATCTTCATCCTGGAATGACATGACTAGTAGAGTAGTGGTAGACTAGTAGAGTGAAGGGGGACAGGAAGACAGTTCCATCTTCTCTCCTGCACTGTGCTAATAATATAATAATATATTGTATATACATATAATACTGATGATATAATGTGATACAATATAATACTACTACTAATATAATTATATATTTTATATTACATGTAATATTACTAATATTACAGTATAATGGTATAGTACAATATAGTAATATACGAACTAGCTGTACACACCGCGCGTTGCTGTGGCCTCTTTCTTTCCTTCTTGCCCTTCTTCCTTTGCTCCCTCTTCCCTTTTTTCTTTCTCTCCTTCCTTCCTTCTCTACCTTTCCTTCCTTCCCCCCTTTCTTTATCTCTTTCTCTCTCTCATTTCTTCCTTCCCTACTTCCTTCCTTCCTTTGTTTTTTGTTTCCATCCTCTCTTTCCATCCCTCCCTCTTTCTCTCCTTCCTTTGCTCCATCTTTCCTTCCTTCCTTCCCTTTTTTCTTTCCTTCTCTCCTTCCACCTCTACCTTTCCTTCCCCCTTTTCATCTTCTTCTTTCCCTCACTTCTTCCTTCCCTACCGCTTTCCTTCCTTCGCTTTTTGTTTCAATCCTTCCTTCTCTTTCCTTCCTTCCCTCCCTCTTTCTCTCCTTTCATTCCTTCCCTTTTTTCTTTCCTTCTCTCCTTCCTTCCTTCTCTACCTTTTTCCTTCCTTCTATTTCCTACTTTATTTCCCTCTCTTTCTTTTTCTCCCTTTCTCTCCTTTCCTTCCTTTCCTTTTCTCTCTCCTTCTCCCCTTCCTTCTCTACCTCTTTCCTTCCTTCCCCCTTTTTTCCTTTCCTTTCCCTTTTTCTCCTTTCTTCCTTCTCTACCTCTTTCCTTCTCTCTTTCCTTCTTTATTTCCCTCCATCTTTCTTTCTCCCTTTCCTTCTTTCCTTCTCTGCCTCTTTCCTTCCTTCCTCCTTTTTTCCTTTCCTTCCCCTTTTCTTTCTTCCTTCTCTACCTCTTTCCTTCTTTCTTTCCTTCATTTCCCTCCCTCTTTCTCGTTCATCCAATGGTTTTTGAGTTCTGTTAATCCCACAAACGAACTTACATTGTTATTTATATAGATATTGTGCTATGGTAATAATATATCGTATTTAGATATTACTTGTAAGCCGCTCTGAGTTCCCTTTAATAAAATGAATGACAACAACTGTATTGTTGAAGGCTTTTATGGCCGGAATCACTGGGTTGTTGTGTGTTTTTTGGGTTGTATGGCAGAGTTCCGGAAGCATTCTCTCCTGACGTTTCACCTGCATCTGTGGCAAGCATCCTCAGAGGTTGAGAGGTTCACTTTACCTGGAATCATATTGTGTCCCATTCTGGGCACCACCGTTCAAAAGAGATCTCGACTCTTAAGATGGAAGGGGTCCAGAGGAAGGAGACTAAAATGTTCAAATCGTTGGAGATCATGAATAATCCCTATGAGGAGCGTCTTAAAGAACTGGGTCTGTTTACCCTGCAAAAGAGAAGGTTGAGAGGAGACATGAGAGCAGTTAAAATTACATGTAACTGAGTCAAACTATTGCTAGGCTTATAATAATATAAGGTGCGCCAGTACGCATGTGCGGCGGTCTCCTTTAAGGAGCGAAGGTATCCCTCCCATCACAGATCAGCATCCTCTAAGGAGCGAAAGTTCCCCCTCCCATTGAGAGTTGCTTTAGACTTCTAAAGGAGCGGCAATACGCATGCGCGGCGGTCTCCTTTAAGGAGCGAAGTTACCCCTCCCATCACAGATCAGCTGAGCTTTAAGCTTCAAATAAAAAGTACAGTACGCATGCGCGGCTGTTGCGAGGTTTTTAAAGGAGCGCCAGTACGCATGCGCGGCGACCTCCTTTAAGGAGCGGGAGTTCCCCCTCCTCTCACATATCAGTGATTCAAAGCATAGTTAACCAATTAAGCGCCAGTACGCATGCGCGGAGGGCTCCTCTAAGAAGCGAAAGTTCCCCCTCGCACTAGGTATTGCTTTTAGGTTTGTTAAGGAGCGCCAGTACGCATGCGCGGCGGGCTCCTCTAAGAAGCGAAAGTTCCCCCTCCCACTAAGTATTGCTTTAGGTTTGTTAAGGAGCGCCAGTACGCATGCGCGGCCGTTGCTTGGCTTCAAAGGAGCGCCAGTACGCATGCGCGGCGGGCTCCTCTAAGGAGCGAAAGTTCCGCCTCCCACAGTATTGCTTTAGGCTTCTGAAGAAGCGCCACTACGCATGCGCGGCGGGCTCCTCTACGAAGCGAATGTTCCCCCTCCTTCCATCACATGTCACTGATTCGAAGCGTCTGCTAAATAAGCCCCAGTACGCATGCGCGACAGGCTCCTTCCAAGCCCCGCCCACGCAGGAAAGATTGGAAAAAAAGAATTCCCGCGCGAGTTTGATGAACGTCATCAACGCAGGCCGCGGCGGTGTGAGGGAGAGCAGGAGAGGCACTGGCTGCGCGGTGATGATGACGCAGGAGACAGCTCGAGCGCCGATTGGATGGGCTCGGATAAAAGGGTTGGGTTGAGGAGAGAGGGGGGAGCCGGGGGGGGAGCGGTCTCGCGCGTGCGCAGTCCTCAGGCCGCCGCGCGCTCTCCTCAGAGTGATGACGCGAGGGCGCTGATTGGCCGCCGCCGCGGAGAGCGATGACGTGAGCGTGCGGCTCGGGCGCTGATTGGCGGCGACCTCGAGAGGGGCGTCTGAGGCGCTGGCGGCGGCGGCGGGCAGAGGAGGAGGAGGCGGCGGCGGCGTTGCTGCTGCGTGGTGCTGCTGCCCCGCCTCCGTCGCCCCTCGCCTCTTTCCTCTCCCTCCGCCAGGGCCAGGCCACGGCCATGACGGACTTCAAGCTGGGCATCGTGCGGCTGGGCCGAGTCGCCGGCAAGGTGAGAGAGAGAGAGAGAGAGCGGGGCGGGAGGCGGGCCAGGCCCTTCGCTCTCTCCCTCACAGGCCCGTGACGCGCCCTGACGTCACGCGGCGGGCCTCTGTGACGTCAGGGGGCTTCCACAGGCCTGAAAGGAAGAGGGTCGTTTCCTGCCTCCCTTTCTCCCCCTCTCGCTACAATATGGTTTATATATAATGATAATATTATATATATATATACTTGCAGCACATGGTTATAGATCTGTATTTGTAGCACATGGTTATGTATCTCCTAGGCCTGGGCAAACTTGGGCCCTCCGGGGTTTTGGACTCCGGTGGCACACTTCCTAACAGCCGGTAGGCTGTTAGGAATTGTGGGAGTTGGAGTCCAAAACACCCGGAGGGCCCTAGTTTGCCCAGGCCTAGGAGATATATATATATGTGTGTGTGTGTGTGTGTGTATAATGAATTATTTATTGTACTACTCATAAACCATGACATAAAATATACAACCTTTAAAAGTACAATAATAATAATAATTACCTCCTTGGGGCTACCCTTGGAAACGGCCCGGAAATTTCAACTGGTTCAACGAACGGCGGCCAGGTTACTAACCGGTGCTTCTTGCAGGGAGCAGTCAACCCTCCTGTTTAAGGAGCTCTGTTGGCTGCCGTTCATTTTCCGGTCCCAATTCAATGTGCAGGTGCTTACCTACAAAGCCCTAAACCACTGATGGGAAACCTTTTGAGATTGGTGTGTCAAAATTTGCCAAAAACCTGAGCATAACTTGGGTGGGGTGTCAACTTCAAGAAAAAACACACACATAATTTTGCAATATTTATAGTTTAAATAAGAAAAATGTATATTCCATGTTGAGTTATGGAGTGAACAATGCTCAAACGTGCAGATGTTAAATTTGTAGAGCCTTTTACAAATTTAAGGATGGAATTAGATTGGCTCTTATAAGGTGTACTTCTCTGTATGTGGCTGCATGTCATCAAAAATAGCCATGCGTGTCACTGCTGACACACGTGTCATAGGTTCACCATCACGGCCCTAAATGGTTTGGAACCTGCCTACCTGCATTACCGCATCTCTGTGTACGAACCCACACGATCTCTTCACACGATCTCTTCGATCTCTTCGTTCAACTGGAGAGGCCCTGCTCGCGCTCCCACCTCCATCGCAAGCGTGATTGGTGGTGACGAGGGAGCGAGCCTTTCCGGTGGTGGCCCCTCGACTCTGGAACTCACTCCCCAGGGATATTAGTCAAGCCCCAACTCTGGCAGTCTTTAGGAGGAGCCTGAAAACATGGTTGTTTCAGTGTGCCTTCCCAGAATAAGGAAACTCCCAGCAATATGTCCCTAAACGCTCTTTATTAGTGATTTAAGATTGTCTGCACACTCATCCCTCTCCAAAACTTCTATCTCAGTTCCATGTCACCTTGTCATGCCCAGCATTATTTTTTAAAAAAATTAATTATTACATTTGGCCCATAGGTTTTTTAACGCGTTGTGTTACTGTTAATGTTTATTGCTTATTTTTGCTTATGAGTTTATTTATTGTTTTGTATTATTGTTGTTATTGTTTATTGTTGTATTGTGGGCTTGGCCTCATGTAAGCCGCACCGAGTCCCTTGGGGAGATGGTAGCGGGGTACAAATAAAGTTTTATTATTATTATTATTATAAAACTTTATTTGTACCCCACTACCATCTCCCCAAGGGACTTGGTGCAGCTTACATGAGGCCAAGCCGAATACATCAATAAACAAAAGCAATAACAAAACAATCAAAGCAATACAATTAA